CTGTCCCTCTTGCCTTCATTCTGTCCTGTAGGTATCAGATGTCCCAAGCCTTTTTTCTCATTATGCGCCATAGAAATTTCAGATGCCTCTTCCTGATGATAATTTCTTTTGCTTCTATTTTCTATAGAACCTCGTCTTTCGATACATAATAGGTCCATGATGTCCACAGCACCTTTCTGTAGAACCACATTTCTTTAGCGTCGAGTCTTTTCTTCACCTGTGAGGAGACTGTCTAACATTCACTGCCATATAGTCAGAATATTATTATATAGAAGTTTAGCACTCTTTTCATTGTCTCTAACGAAGCCACATATATTTAGTATAAAGTATTATCCACTGTGAAGTACGTGTCCTTTTTTTCTCTCTCATGTTCCTTAAAATTTACTTGTTGCTCAGATATTGTTCATATTGTTCTTTGTTGTCTCAAGTTTCTTTCTCATCTGTGAGGAATTTGTCCAACATTGCAAATTATAAAAAGAAGAATTTAAAATATGTCTAAAGTTCTAAAGTATAGAAAGAAGTAAAAAGTAAAGAACTAAGAAAGGAAAGAGAAAGAAAGAAACAAACAAACAAAGCTGGGAAAAATGAAAGAATCAAGAAGGAAAAAGAAGGAAGAAAAAAGAACGAACGAAAGAAATAGAAAGTAAAAGAAATGAGGAATGACGTCATAATTTAGAAATAGAGAGCGAGAAAGATTTGAAAGAGATTTAGAAAGAAAAAAAGAAAAGAAAAAATTATAGAAAGAAAAGGTTAAAATGGAAGAAAGATAAGCGATTAGAAATAAAAAAGATAAAAAAAATCCGACTTGAGGTGAATAAAAGAATGCAAAAGATTTGTAAAACATAAAAGGAAAAAAAATGTTTCCAAGTAAAGAAAGAATTAGAATGTAAGTAATGCATGACAGAATAAGAAGGAATGGAAAAAAAAACTCACCCCCTCATGAATAAGAAAAGATTGATAAAGAAAAATGAAAATCTTCTCTGTAAGAGAAAAGGAAAAACAGCGAAAAATCAAACGATTCTGCTAACTTCGAACTTAAAAAGAAATCAAGTAAAACGAAGAAATTACCAACATTTCCTGTCGTATAAGGTGATTGATATTAAATATCAATTCAGAATTCCTTTCTTTGTTCCTACTGAAATTGACATCTTGCGTAATACTTTGCTTAGCTTTTGAAAGGCGTCTTACGGTATCTCCACGTGCCTTCGGATTTCAGTGATGCATTTTCCGTCTTCTGTTAAAACACTTCTGAGATATTGAAATTGTTGAACTTGTTTGATTTCTATATCTGCAACCATGCAGTCTATGGTCTTGCATTTTTTTCGTCCATCCGTCTCACTTTCCTTCAATACCCTCTCTACCTTCTGTAGACTTTCTTTATTGAATTGAATAAAGCTTCGCTAGAAGATTAAACGCTCGTCTGTTTTTCTCTACACATCATCTGCAATTCATTTATTGTGTTGTTTTAATTTTACACGCATTCAAAAGATGAGACATAATCATGGGACAAACGTCAAGCTAATTTCAAAGGGCTTTTTCGCCACAAGGAAGGCAATAAAGCCACTAAGACGCATGTGATTACTGAGAAATTAAGAAACTGACAAACGTTATTGGGGAGAGACGGAAAATAAAAAAAACAAGATGCAAGAAGGCAAAGGATGACGATTAGTGTTGCTTTTTTATTTTTTTAAAGATCGTGGGGCGAATTTTCAATCAGTTTATATAGTTCTTGATACAAGAAAAGTAACTCTTCCCGTTAAAATCTCTATCATGATACTTTGTATTTTTCTTCTAAAATTTGGAGCGGATTTAAAAAAGAAAGATTGGGAATTTTCTCGGTAGCAGGTCATGTGGCTGCTTCTGGCTTCTGGCTTCTGCCGCCTTCTGGTTGTTGGGTCGTCTAAGCGCCCATTTAATTGTATTTCTTCCGACATCTACCACACGCCAAAATTCATTATCTTTCCAGTTTTGGAGAACCGATTGTGCCCTTCAAACCAAGCGGCTGGTAGGAGGTCACTTATTTAAAACAATAAACTCTTCGGCAACAAACTGTGATTATAAATTCTTTCCTATGTCCTTGACAAATAATTTTCTTTATTGACGACTTTTCAATATGACCGATTAAAATCAGTACCCACCTTGCATTTTTACTCAACCATATTTCAGATTCTTTACATTATCGGCTTTGGGAATCATAAAAATTCCATTTGTTTTTTCAGCTGACATTATTCTTTTTCCCTTGCTCTATATTTCAATTCATGTTCTCACCATAACGTTTTTAACCCTTACAATTTTCAAAATCCTATATGTGTTTTTCACATGAACACTTTCAATCTCTTTCATATTATCAGTGTCACAATATTGCTGCATTAACCCCTTCAACTACAACAAGTGACACGTTATAGAATCAAAACTGTAGTGATAGGCAAATGATTGCCTAATTAGCATAGCTAAGGCATAGACTGGGACGTATACGGTGGAATAATGAATAGCGGCCTGGATTGAGTAATCTCACAATTCCAGTCGAATCCATTACATTCACTTACCAGCTAATACCCTTGGGAAAGATATGAATCCTCTTCCCCTCCCCCCACCTCCAGCTACGGGTAAATAGCAAAACAGACCAGGTTCTATAGCCTTAGATGGCAACTGGTCTACCTCAGAAAGAAATGCCAATCTACTGCGAGATAAATATCTGCCTCGTCAGTATCGAAAGATACATGATCGCCTAAGCGTGTATCACGCATGGGACATAATTGACGGAAGGCATAAACTATATATATTCCCGAGGAGTAGGGTTAGAGCAGCTCTCGTTACTAATGGACTGATAGAATAAGAATGATAGCATACTTTATAACAGTTGCCTTCAATGTTTTTCTCAGCTCTCATTAAAATTTACTGTATAAATAAATTTATTGTATAAATGTACTATATAAATGAATTTACTGTATAAATAAAATCCCAGAACAAATAACCTCTAAGATTTCACAACCAGCATTAATCAGTCGACAATGGTTGCTACATATTTATCGTTCTAAGTTATTTTATTTATTTCTTTATCAAGAACAAATATTTGAATATGAAGTGTCTTCTTCTTCGACCATTGCAATGTTCTTCCCCAAATGCCCGTATAATGTTATTCAAATTAATTTCAATGAACTACGACCAGTTACGATGAATGAATGCTTCCTGGGGGCGGCCCCTTGCCTTGAGTGACTACTCGGCCATCAACTCAATCCAGACCTCAACGTGGAGCTCATACATAAGACCCATCGCCAAAGATGCAGTAAAAATGGTTGGTACCCTGTATCGATTCAGTTAGTTCTTGACTCCACGTACAATCCTCTACGTTTACAGGAGCCGGATAAGGCCTAAAATGAAGTACTGCTATCATATTTTGGAAGGAACTGCCGTGCTTACTTTCCCCTCTTAATAGAATACAAGAGTGTCGCGGCGTCCTTTCGGAAGACAAATTATTTTCCAGCCTGCAACCCCTCTCTCACAGACGATTTGCCGCAAGCCTATCGCTGCTCTGTCGCTACTTTAATGAAAAGTGCTCAGCCGAACTACATTCCTTTGTTCCATCAGTTCTAACCTTCTCGTCTAGGACTCATCACCGCATTGTGGCGAACCATCCACATTCCATTCGTATTCCATTGGTGAGGTGGAAGCTCCACTCAAGAAGCTCCTTCGCATGAACCACTGCTCTGTGAAACTAACCCCCGATCACCACAATCGTACCTTCTGATCATGAGGCCTGGTTTCGTATAACACCATGGTCGATTTATCAGGAAGGTGATGCCTTGATGTTATCTGTCTGGAGGAGGCGGTCCCAGCGTGCGCCACCTTTGGAAAGTTCCTGAAAAACATACCACTTTTGACCGCCGAAGCCTTGTGAATGAAATTGGGTAGACGGAACCCTTGGGAGCCGTCGGTGTTGAACTAGCACGAATTCACAAGTCATTGTGACCGAGCGTTTGAGCGAGCTAGCCTAGTTCTGACTGTTGATATCGCTAGATAACACGCCCTCTCTATGAAACTGTAAGTGATAAGTTCCGCCCAGTATAGCTGCACCATGAACCACAGATGGGTACTGTGGGGGTTGAGCAAACACTAATGTGACTGAGCAGGCGTCTGCAATAGGGATTAGCTAGCGACCATGTAGAGTGGCTGCGCGATTTACATTTTTACAATCTTAAGCAGTTCAAGTCTAGTGTTAACGGTTAACTTCCCCATATAGCCGCATAAAATGTGTATATTACTCGGGCCTTGTGCAGGGCAAAACCTCACTGTAAATAATAATAATAATAATAATAATAATAATAATAATAATAATAGTCGTTTGGGGACCTTTCTTTAGAGAGTAAATTCCGCTAGAAATGCAGAATATAGAGATTACAGTATACATCAAGATAGCTCCCTTTTCAAAGCTCAAAACTTAAATCGACACTTCATTTGCTACAATTTATACGATTGTAAATGTCTACGTTTATATTACCCAACGCCTCTACTTAAATCCATTTTCATATCACCAAATTACGAAACGTCGTGAATCCGAAACTTTATGTGATACAGCCTAATAAAAAAAAAAGAAAGCTACATTTGGATCTGTTTACGAGTGTCGGTAGATAAGTGAAAGGTTGTATGAGAACTGTAAAATTGGCATCTTCTGTAGTTTAGTATCCGCATCAAATGTATTATTTTTTTTTTTATTTTCGTTTCACTTTCTTTCTCTCAGTAAGAAGCCTAAACTTCAAAAGTCTTTTCGAAACAGATTTTTATTTTTTCGTAAAATGCTTTAAGCAATTTTAATTTTCTCTATTTTCCAATCGCTGAAAATCAGAAGAGATTGCCTCAAAAAGTTCCACAAACGAAAGGAAAAAAATGAGAAAATGGTAAGTAATGAATAAATGAAAACGCTTGAGAAGAAAAAGGAAAAGAAATGAGTGGAATTGAAAAGAGAGGACGGAAAGAAGTTAAGAAGTTAAGAACGTAAATAA